CTGGGTGACTCCTGGGCCTCCCTTCCCTTTCTCGGAGCCCAGACACCCTGCCTCTCCCCAGCCATAACTCCTCCTGGAACCCCGGTGTCTCACTGGTCTCCTCCACTCTGCTCTCAGCACCAGATGTCCCGTCCCACCTCAGAACCTCAGCGGTCCGTCTCCACCGCCCTCCGCGACTTTTGATACCAAACAACCGCACACCGCATGAGTCCCGTTTGCTGCCCTCCTTTCTCTCCCTCAGTGAGCTGACACATTGAGAGGGAGAGAGACAGAGCGTGTGCATCTTGTTTGGAGAGGAAGCTGGGAGTCCTGGACCAGGGGCCAGAAGACCGTCTTACTGTCTCCGAGCCTCAGCTTTTCTTGTTAAGTACAGAGAAGATGTCTGTTGTGTGTCTTATAAGCCTTTCAGAGCCGCTATGATCTGACACAGCTCTTGCCGCTGTCACTGAGCTCCAGCTACCCTGGCCTTTCTTTTCCTGACAGACTTGGCTTGTTCAGACCTCGTGTTGGCCTTGAACCCTTTGCTTGGGACAGTCTTCCTCCAGTTGTTAGCATCCAAAGTTCCTTCTTGTCCTTCCAGTTGCAGTTCAAATGCTGCCTTAGCACGGCCTTCCCAAGCCACCTACTCCCCTCCTCAAAGTCATTCTCTGCGCTTGATCTGTTTTTACTGTCTTCAAAGCACTCAGCACCATCACAAAGCGTCTTGCGTGTTGGTTTCCTTGTCTGCCTCTTCCCCTGGAATGGGAGCGGCTGAGAGCGGACGTCTTGTCCTTCTCGTTCCTGGCTGTGCCTTTAGCACCTCGAACAGGGCCTGTCACAAGGGAGTCCCCAAAGAGTGTGGATGAATGGATGCCCACACCTGGGGAAACTCAAACGGTGTAATGTTTGCTATGGCACTTGAGAAACTCAACAGCTGCCCCCGTGGATGGGCTTTTTATTTAAGACATTTAGATTTGGGAGCAGTATGTTTACATTCCTACCTCTGTTTCCTTGAGCTGACAGATGTCAGGGAGCGATGCCTGGGGAGAGGGAGCTTGAGATTATCACAGAGGCGGGGGTGGCCCCTCCTTGGGTAAGCTGCCAGTGGACGCCGACCGGGGCCTGCATTTGCGGAGTTGCCTCCCACGCCCATGCTTGACCTTACGTCTCCTGCCTTACCAGACCGCTGAGCCTTTGCCAAGTGGGATACTGGACTACTGCTTCTGAGGGCCTGGAGATCTTTGGCCCAATTTCCTGGATGGATGTGTAATTTGTAGATGAGAAACGTCCTCATTTCCTGTGACTAGAGAAAGACGATGAAAAGAAAAAGAAAATGGGGCAAAAGTATTTATCCACAGGAAGTAGAGCAAGGTGAAAAGAAGAACTAGCAGAGACCTGGCACTGAGAGGCAGGGAAGTTTGGGGCAGTGGGGTTGGCATCCTGCTGGTGTGTTTTCCTCCAGACCCTCTGCGGACCTATCTGCCTTCTCTGACCACAGCGATTGCCACAAACCACACTCCACGTGAGCTCTGGCCATGTGGGCGGATGAGGAGTTTTGAAGAAGGGGGACAACAGCACCTTTTCCAGAAAGGGGAAGTGAAATAGTCAGTGTAGGTTCCTCTTTCCTGCTGGTCAGGCCCTCAGGGCAGGCAAACGAGCTCCCTCCACCCGTTTCCTGGTAGCGGCTCTCGGCTGTCAGCCATGTTATTCATTAACTAGGCATTAATATTTCTGTTTACCCAACTGCCATCCTGCTTCGGGGCAGGGGGTTCAGAGGAGTCCTGCAATCATGCAGCCACCCGGATGCTCTTGGACCAGGCCCAGCCAGCCACGTTTAACTAGCGTTTATTGTGTCAGAAGCCCTGTGTGAGAGCCTGGTGCTATATTAGCCGGGGAGAGATGAAGTTTTCTCAAGGAGGATGTGATCTGTCTGCCATCTGAGCATATGCGCTGTGAGATGCATCCAGGGATGTACTCGGGATGGTTTAGGAGGGTGGATTATTAATATCTCTTGCCAAACCCACGTTCAGTATCTTCACATTGGTAGAGATTAACGCTGGTGGGCGTGTATATGCCACAGAAATTGGCAAGTGCTACCAACCAGAGCCTTCCTAACCTCCTACTACTCCCCTCCCACGCCCACCCCCTGCTACCAAGAGCTAGTTGTTAAACATTTTCCAATACACCATTGGAGACATCTGTTTACCAAGTGGATGCGTGGTAACTTGTGAGGCCTCCTCCTGGCTATTTAGTTCTTGAAAATTCAATTCCAGTGAGAGAGGAGGCAGCCTCCCTTCCAGGGAGCTGCTAGCCCTGTGTGTTTGCATAGCGCTCTGTGGCTTCTTAACTCTTTCACGCGCAGTATCTCCTTGACCCTGAGAGCCGTCTCCCTTCTGTGGGAGGCACAGCCGCCAGAGTGATCTTCTTAAAATGGAAATCAGATCCTTCTCCTCTCTTGCTTCAAATGCTCAAATGGCTTCCAGAAGCTCCTAGAATAAATCCAGACCCCTTTCTGTGGCCTAAAAGACTTTGCATGGTCTGGTCCCCGCCCAACCTCCTTGACCTCACCTTCTGTCACTCTCTCCCCAGTTCACGGTATTCCAGCCCAACTGTTCTCAAAGTGTGGTCCCTGAGCCAGAGGTGTTGGCATCTCTGGGAACCCCTTAGAAATGCCCAGCCGGCCTGTTGTCATGGTTAACCTTGTGTGTCAATTTCACTGGGTGACGGAGCGCCCAGATATTTGGCTAAATCTTATTTCTAAGAGTCTGTGATTGTGTTTCTGGATGAGATTAGCATCTGAATGAGTAGACTGAAGCAGACAGCCCTCCCGTGTGCGTGAGCCTTGTGTGCGTGAGCCTTGTGTAATTCCCCGAGGGCCTGCATCAACGAGAAGGCGGTGGGCGGGGCGGGGGTTGCTCTCTGCCTGACAGCTTGACTCTTGCTCTCGGTGAAGAAATGGGCTGATGAAGGTCAAATACTTGTAAGTAAGTAAGCAGCTAAAACTTCCCCCTCAAAGTCTCAGACCAGGCGCAGTGATTTTCTTATAAACCCATTAAAGCAAAATGACTTCATTTTATACTTTCCTGGTTAGCAAGAGCAGCCACGGCCCCGAAGAAGCTGAGAAGCTCAGTGTTGGAAGGGGTTTGGCAGTTCACTGGTTCGGCCCTTCACAGATGCGTGAGTTTCCTCTGCACGGCTGTTTGCTGTCTTCTGCTTGAATATTATTGGAAAGTGAGAGAAGCTACCTTGCTGCGATAGTGAGTTCTGTCTAAACAGCCCTAATTACTTGAAATGTATCTGCCATCTGCCTTTTTCCTCTGCAATCTTTGCTCTTCCCCGTGGAGCTACATAGAAATGCATCTTCCATGAAATGAACCTTATCTTGTCGCAGCGACAGATCCAGCATTCTCTTACTTCCTTCTCTTTTGAAAATTTTTTATTTCTTGTTATTATAATAATTTTATGGACGCACAATGATCGTATGTATTTATGGGGTACGTGTGATATTGTGATCACGTGTCGGTGAAAAAAGCAGGCACTCTGAAGTCAGGAAGACCTGGATTCAAAGTCACCTCAACTCTCTCAGGTCCTGTCTCTGGCGTAGTGCCTGGCATTTAGTATGCTCTGTGATTGTCATTATTACTACTATTATATAGTTTTTTTTTTTAAGGCTAGTCAAATGAAGCAGTGGGAGTGGAGAAGGAGCACAGGTATTATATAGTTTTATACGTCCAAAACATTTTTGGTTAAATTTTCTGGGCTTGATTCCCTGAGTTAGTGGCCTTCTTAAAAATGTGTTGTCTCAGCACAACGCGCTACTGACTGGGCGTAAGTGGAATGGGGTTATTATCACCTTGTCTACACTCTTTCTTTTAATGTCACCCAAACCAAATGAGCTTTTTCGGAAGCTGGAATACATCACAGACTCATAGTATGCCTACAGTCAGCTGAAAATCCCAGAGTTTTTCTCACGTATTACTACCAAACCATTCTATAGTTGACTACCTCGTACATTATTTCCATCATTTCTAATGTTTACTTATTATACGTCCGAGGGTGCGTCTGTGTTACACATGGTTTGATATCTTAGAGCTAAATGATATTCTGTAATTTTCAGCAATTTTACGTACGCAGTCTCATTTTAACCCTCGGAATCAGCCTGGGAGGGCACGTTATCCTCACTGTGATGGTTCGGAAATGGAGGCTGGAGGCTGTGACTTGCTTCGGGTCCTCTGGCTGCTGAGCCAAACCAACACTGAAGACAGGAGGCCTGTGACACCCGTCCAGGCTTCTTTTGAAGAAGGAAACCAGAAATGAGCTTTCATTTGGTGGGAACAAGGAAAGGCTTTCTGGAGAGACTGAGTAAGTTTGGTAAAAGGGGAGGAAGGGGGTCGTCAGAAGATGGGGGAGCACGGGGTTGAGGTGGGGGGACATGTGAGCAGGAAGGGTCTCCCCGAAGAAGGATTTCCTGGACAGCTTGGGCTCCTGACCCAAGACAGGGACTCCTGACCCTCAGAGGTTCTGTGTGTCGGTTTGGGGTGGCCCCGTGTGATTCCGACGTATAGCCTGGGTTGCAGACTACTGGGCCCGGGGCTGGCAGTCAGTTAACGAGAGAGAATGTTCTAGCAGTCCTTATTGTGGCGAAATGCGTTAGGCAGGTGGAATGGGGGAGGGAGAGAGGCACAAAGCCAGCAAAGGAACGGTGTGACGTGAATTCCTGGGAGGAAAAACTTTGACAACAGGGAAATTGCAGGTTTCTGAGCAGGAGGGTAGCGTGTTTCAAGCCCCCGTGGAAGACTGATAACCGTGAGTCAGGACGCAGCCCGCACCCCCTTTCTAAGGCCGGCGGCCTCTCTATTCATGGGTCTAAACGGGATTCCATCAGCGCCCTCAGACTTCCCACATACGTCTGCATATCAGAATGTTTCCGCGGTTTCAAACGCATCGCCTTGCCCTTCGCTACGCTCTCTCGCCTGTGCCTGCGGAAGCGTAACAAAGATTGTAGACACTCACTTCAGAGTTTCATAACCTTTATTCGCAACCTGCCAGACCAGGCTGTTTTTCCCTGTGCCAGCCTGTGTCAGTCTCTGATTGCTGCATGCCAAGCCACATCCTGGCCCGTGTCGGGTGCCAGGAGGAAGGCGATGAGACCCAGACCTCGGGCAGCTCCCGGTTTAACGGGGGAGACGAGATCACGTGTGGAAACGAACGGTGCACACTTTAAAAGCAGCCGGTCAAACTGCTACGGTGACCCCCAGATCATTAGAGGTTTAAGTCCCGCCTGAGTCCTCCCCGCCAGTGTCCCCGGCTCAGAACCTTTTTGAGTCTCCTCCGACCTCATTCAGCATTTCTCTCTCATCTCTTTCTCATTGGTTTCTTTCTAGCCTCAACAGCTACACCAGCGTCTAGGTGTTGTTTCCAACCTGTAGCAGGAGTACTTCTGGACTCTCTGCTTCAGCCTGGCCACCACCAGATCCCAGCCACCTTGCAAGAGCTGGATTCCTGTTAGCTATGCTGCTCCCGAAACTGCAGCCTAACGGTGCTTCTGTGCTCAGCCGTTTCTTCTTGTGTCGTGGAGCTGTGCTCCTGTGGGAAGGAAAACCAGTCAGGAAGGGACACCAAGCTGGTGAGAGAGGTTCCTTCAAAGTCCCAGGCATGGATTGGGTTTGAGGATTCCTGAGTCGGGACAGGAACCGTCATGCTCCCTCCTCCTCCTCCTCTCCCAGGCCGCCCAACTCCGGGGCAACCCAGAACGCCTCCAGAGGTCCGGGGAGACGGCTAGTCCGTGGTGAAGTCCGAACTCGGCGCCCCCTCTGTCTGACTGACACCCCTGTCCGCATTGGTCACCCCTGCTGTCTTTTCGCCTCTGCGTCTCAGCAGGGAGGAGGCCTGACGGCGCAGCACCTGCAGCCCCTGCCCAAAGGACCTGCGCATGGCGGACGAGGAGAAGTAGAACAGCAAGGGGTCCAGGCTGGCGTTGAGGGAACTGAGCACCACAGCCGCCACCCGCCACGAGGGGCTTTGTCGCGTGTAAAACCCCACCAGGTGAGACACGTTGTAGGGCCCGAAGCACACCAGGAAGTTGAACAGCGTCACGACGGCCAGCCCCACAGCCCGCCGCCGCCTCTGGGCCCCCACGTGCGGCTGGGTGAGCATGATCCACATGAAGCGCCAGTAGCAGAAGACGGTGACCGCCATGGGGATGAGGAAGAGCACCAGGAACAGCTCCAGCCGCACGGGCAGCACCAGCTCCAGCTGCCTTGGGGTGAAGTTCTCGTAGCAGGTGATGTCGTTGGCATTTCTGACCTGCTGGGTTGAGTTCAAGTACTGAACGACGATCACGACGGTGCAGTGACCAAAGGACATGATCCAGGCCACCAGAGCAGCGATCACGCCGTACACGGGCCGCCGCGAGAGCTTGTACTGCACGGGGAAGGCCACCCCCAGGTAGCGCTCGACGCTGATGCCCGCCAGGAGCCACGTGCTGCAGTAGATGCTGCTGTAGAAGCCGAAACCCGTGAGCGCACAGACGATCTCGGGCAGGTACCAGTGGAAGTTCGAGGCGGTCTCGATGATCTTGAAGGGCAGCAGCAGCAGCAGCAGCAGGTCGGCCAGCGTCAGGCTGAGCAGGAGGATGTGCACCGGCGCCGGCTGGGGCTGGCGGACCCGCCCCAGGAACGCCCGCAGGGCCAGCAGGTTGGCAGGGAGACCAGTGAGGAAGATGATGACGTAGGCCGTGAGGATCAAGGATCTTTGCCACTGAGGCAACATCCTGGAGCAGGAGACAGAGGGCAGGGTCAGCAGGCCCCACTCACAGCCTGAGGACCCCTCCCGGGTCAGGATACCGACATTCTCCCTCGAACTCTCCCCGCGCCCCGGCCGACGCTTTCTGCTGCCGCCGGGGCTTGCTCACACCACCTGCCAGAACTGCCCAGAGCAATTATTGACTTTGCCTGGGGCAGGCTATTAGGCGGCCGTTATTACGTTTGGCGTCAGGTGTCTCGGGGGAGACCAGCCCTTAGCTTCCCGAGGGAATTCCCCTGCGACGTCCCCAGCCTTTCTCCTTCCATCCTCACAGAGACAGGAAGACCCTGTCATCAGTGTCGAACTCTGCCGAAGTCCCTTCTCAGACAGCATCGCAGCGGGGCGAGAGCTGCCAGGTGCGTCTCAGGATAAGCAGGCTGCGAGAACCCAAGTGCCCAGCCCCCAGCCCATCTTCCCACCTCCCTGTCCTCTGCCGTTGCAGGGTGCGGATTCCCCTCCGCTGCGCCCACCTCTGTCCGACACCGGACTCGGGGCTCTGCTGAAAAGGGGAAGCGGGGCAGCCTGGAGAGGGGCGGGGCAGAGGGGCGAGGACCAGCCAGCGCTAGCCGTGGAGGCTTGTCCCCGGGAGACTTGAGAGAGACAGTCAGAAAAGCCCACAGGCCTGAACTGACTCCTGGGCCTGGCGTGTTGACCAGGCCCTTTTCTTACTGGGGTGACTCAGTTTCCACTTGGTGTGTAGCCCTGGCTGGCCCCCCACCGTCTCGCCCCTCCATCCTCTCTCCAGCCTTGATTTCCGGGGCCACGTTTCCTTGCCCCCCACACTAGCGCCTGTCTCCGAGCACGATCCTTACATTTCAGCGTCTGGCAGACTCCTTCCAGCCTCCCCCACCGTCCCCTCGCGTTCTGCTCCCGGCGTCGCTTCCCAGAGTGCGAGCGCGAAGGTGGCTGCCTCGCCTTGTCCTCATTCCGGGGAGATGGCCCCTTGGGGTTCGTCCTGAAGGAGAGTCTGTAAGCTTCTAGGAAAGAGGAACCGAGCTTCAGCCTCTGCTGCCTCCCATCTCGCACAGGAAGAAGCGGTAAGGAACCAGGAGGGCAGAAAGCTTTTTTATACCAGCTCGAGTCACGTGGGTGGGGTGGAGGGGAGGTCAGTCACTGAGCAGTTTCCTCTCAAACCCAAGGTGAAGGCCTTGGCATCTCTGTTGTCTCCATGGAGATCCT